ATAGTATATTTTGCTCTTTTCCGTAAAGTATGGAATCTTGCTTTTACGATGGCTGTCACAGTACAGACGAAACCTGAGCAGGACAGTGAGCCGAGGACTTCTTCGCACAATTCAACAGTCTTCCCTACGCAGAAATCCTCCTTCGGTTTCCGGTGAAACCACGTCAGGAATTTCTTTCAACCAGGTTTCCCTTCGAAATTGAGAGTCATGCCACAATATTAAGATAATATTGTTGGGGATACCTTCATTTCCTATGAAGATATTAGTTGTTTGATCGTACTGGAAGACGATGGCCGATTCTACTAGTTCTGCAGCCGTTTGACTTTAATATGACATTCATGTTGACGCCCAAAACGAGAGAGAATGTCTCGCGGACTGCCTCAACATGAGGTATCAAGGCAAATGGCTGCAGAACAACAGAAATCGGCCATCGTCTTACGATTGGATCAACCATCGAATCCTCATCATGCACTTTCATATAAAATGTAAGCCTCCACAAGAATATTGTAAAGTTACAAGACAACAACTGTGTGTTATGGAGAAATGGTAGACGCAAAATGCTACTTGCCTAGCAGATAGGGTTGATCCCAGAAGTTAACCTTGCGATGTAGGCCTGCTCTTGTCAGGTGATCGAGGAGGCGCGGGTAAGCAGTATGATATGGTGCGAGGACAACATCTTCATTACCCAATGCGCCACTGGAAATAATCGGTCCAGCAGAGCTCCCAAAGGCCGGGCTAGCGAGATTACGACCAGAAGCCACGTTAGCACATGCAGTGGTGCCAGTGCTACCGGCAGCTTCTCCAGCCATTGCAACAGTGTCTGCAATCAGACCGCTCCCTGAGTGACTGAGATTACCACCAATATACGCTCCACTGGCTCCAACTCCTCCAGTCGCCGAGGGTGTCAGGGGCCCACTTAGAGGAGGCGGTGGCGGCTGCAGAAGTAGGGGCCGCGAAGGGGTAAGTAAATGTAGTGTGCAGCGGCGGCAGCTAGACACAATGACCTGCCTAGCCGGACTAATTATCAAACAATCATCACAAGCGGTGAGCAAAAGAGTACGTGAAACTGCGCCAAGGAGAAGGGTCAATTTGCGGCATTTATCCACAGTTACTGAGCTGGCCTCCGGAAGTAAAGGATAAAAATGAAAAGAAAAAAAATTTACTAAGAATATAAATATGACTCAGAGTAGTTAAATAGTTAAGGAAAAAGTAGGATTAGAAAACTCAAGTTGATTATAAATGTAGACTTGATTGCAAAATATTGCATACCTAAACACAATTTAAATTATTTAATAGTTCAAGCATCCCCTTAAGTATGGATTCCCAATTTTGATGGCAACCTAATTTGACGCTACAGGCTTCCTTATCACTGTGAGGTATGTGTACCAAGTAAATCCTGTGGTCAAGTCTTTACTTCATTGAGCATGTCTATGATTAAATTTATCTACTAATTTTTCGTATATAAGTGGAGTTTCGAGATTACATCTCATATATCTACTAATAGCCAAATATCAATTGGCTCCTTGGCATCACTCGCTCTTCTTTCCATAATGCTAAGTCTATGACTTTCTTATGCTTAAGTCTCTTGCGTGTTGACCCCAAAATGTGATATTTATACTTGATTTAAATAGGTTCACTGTAGACTTCTCCTCTTGGTTTCCGATAATTCCTTTCTGGTCTCCTTGTAATTTATTTTCCTAAAATTAAAAATATTACCTTCGTCCAACCGTCTTCTTTTTGCTGATATTGCTGTTCTCTGATCTTCTCCAAGTTTGCTTAGACAGAATGCAAAGTTTTGGCTAATTCTTCCTTCGTCAAGTCTCCCTTTGATTAGATATATTTCAGTCAGGACATCAATGGCTTCTCATATTTTTACCATATGCAGTCAGTTTTTCTGTCGATTTCCACTCAATTTCGTGTACCGTCCATGTGATGTGTTCCGCTGTTTTGGATCTTTCAACATCCATGTTTCTGCAGAGTCTCTAGTATTCCTTAATTCGTAAACCAATTTTTTCTCCTATTTCGCTAATATACGTCTGCTCACAGTTTCTGTATTAAATGCCTGCCGAAGCAACACGAGAAGTTTGACAAACTGGATAGCTTGGAAGTCTATAACATCAAAGTCCATGAAGTAAAGGCTCGACCACAAGATTTAATCGGTGCATAAGTGTCGCAGTGATAAGGGAGCCTGTCTCGTCAAGTTAGGGCTGCCATGCTAATTAAGAATCCGGACTTTATGGGCTTATTCAGTGAGGCTAGTGTAAACGTGCTATTAAAAGTTCGAGGCAGAGTTTAGAGAATTATGCCTTGAGTAGCACGGATACAGTGGCGACGGTAGAGTAAAATCAATGAAAGAGGTAGATAAGGGAATGATCCTACGGAGCAAGAGGGGGACTCTGATAGGACCCAAGGAAGAAGATTTCCGATTAAACCACAGCCTTGGATCAACATTCTCGGCACACTGAGAGGAATGTTAATAGGCTTTAAATATGGTTAGATAAACAAGCAAGAAACTGTGATATTAAAGGGTGATACGAGGATATAGGATAGGTCAATAACCAAGAACAGAAGGAGAGATACCACAACTATTTAGCAGACAATTGGTCAAAGGATCAACTTCATGTGTCATTTTGACGAGTTGTGATGGGGTGCTAAAAATGGCGAGGCCCACTGATGATGTCGAATGCGATTCCGGCGAAGCGTCTGGGAATGTACCAAGTCCACGGCCCGACTCTAGAAATTATCATGCATACTATGGATTCGGGACAAGGTGAGTTCCTTTATATCTTCCTGCCAATATGAACAATTTGCAAAAACAAGGTAAAACGACTTTCAAGCTATCCTAGCTTAAGAATTTCAATTAAAATTATATGAATGCACCAGCTAGCAATATGTGACTCATATAGACAAAAAATGTAAAAAATTTCGATATGATTGAATAAATCTTTAAAAAAATAATATAAGGCATACAAATTATGATATAAAGAACTTGCCGAAGAGGGCCTAAAAGATATATGCAGCTATAATAAGCTCGATGAATTTTAATTGTAGCATCTTCGATAGAAGCAGGACCCTAAAAAAAGAACAAAACATGATACTCAATATTAATAAGTAGGTCGTAGGCAGATACCAACCAACGGACACATTAAAAACTGAATATAACCTTAGAAATGGGTAGGACTGTCAACTTGAGAGACAAGAGGAGTGCGCTTTACATGATTCAGGAGTGTAAGAGGGAAGTGGCTTTAAATCCTCGAATATGACGTAAACGAGGAAGAAAATTGAACGCCCATAGACAGCCATATTTCAGACAACCAGAGTGATTTTCATGTGCAGCAGGGACCAATTAGTAGGCTTAAAGAGGTGGCCAAATAAATGTAAGAAGCCATGACCCAGAAGCCAGGCAAAATGCATTCCAAATTATCTCAGGTGGACTTCAATTTTGATCTAGCAAAGGTCTCACCAACACCCCGAGCGGTACTCGAAC